TGGAGTTATTGTCTTATTGCGGTGAGCAATATTTTATTTCGGTACATTTTTGAGCTGCAAATTTGTGGCATCAATTTGTAATTTTTCAGAAGGCGCGTTTATTTAATTGAAGTAACATGTTACATTTCACCATAAAACTTGATGTGTTTGAAAATACGGACTAGATAGAAGTTTTTTAAAGTCAATTATTGTATATGGTTATTCAAAAGACTTTTGCTATGATTGACAACTCTGTGGACGATTTTTCAGTCTAGATAAAAACACTAGTGTTCCTTTTCCATATTTCCACTTAAAAATATTCCAATGCATTTATTTGGTAAACAGGAATGTCGATCACAAGTATAAGAAAACATCACAGTACTGTTTTAAACACTTCAGTAGAACATTTCAATTAAGTCAGTCTAAACCTCATTTGCAACTTTTGTCATCAAAATATCATGTTACTTGCAACTGAATTGCAACATGTTTTGCAACAATCATAAGTTGCAAAGAGACTCCACCTTCTACGCTTTTTAAGGTACAATGAAGTTTTATATGCGATGCGTTGTCCATAATTTGGACCTTCATTTAGTTACACTAAGGCTGTTGTTACTCGCTGAGCAACAAATGGTGTTGCTTGGGATAGCAACTAGAGTTTGGTATTCAGAACAAATTTTCATTCCACTCAAGGGGTGGTCACCTTACACTTATTTTGCGCCAACCTTTTTCTCAGTGTGCCTCAAGTGTGCCGCGCTGAACCAAGAGTGCCATGTCAGCGTACTGATTTTTTTGTATGTTTGGCAACCCGATATTTTGACAATTCAAATGTTTTTTATTTGTATAGATCAGTGCACGAAGATTTGCTCACCTCAGTAATCTGCGCGTGTGAACGAACATGACGTTCGTTTTTTTTCTCAGAGTTTTTTATGCTTATTTGATTTTTAATCCGGGTAACATTTTCGACGATTGGACACTTCAAAATGGTTCTACATAGGACGGGACTAGTTTATGTCGATCCTTATCAAGCGAACCGTCTTTGATTGGAATTACAATGCAACAATAGCACGGATGCTTCCTGTGGATTCATTTGGACTAACTTGGTGAGATCGTATCTGATTTTATCTATTTAAACTAAATTTACATGGTTCTCTTAAATTTGGCAAATTCTTATTGGAGTTTTCTCCACACATCCCATTTTTTGTGTATTTGAAATCATCATGGAACGCCAAATGTCTGCACATTTTTGAACATGTGGTGGAACACTCGGTGGAACATTACTGTAATTCATATATTGTCGTTCAAGTTGGACACTGGAAAACCCACACGCGACATTCGATTCTACCCTCGTTCTGCACGTCAAACACAACGTCGGACACAGTGCGCTGAATAGCGCATCATTGTGCGAATACAGCGCACTATGTCCGACGCTATGTCTAACGTACAGAACAAGAGTAAACTCAATTGGCGGGTGTGGGGTTTTCCGGTTTTCAACTGAAACGATAATATATTAAACGGATATTGGACGAGGGTTCGTGGATTTGCCTGTCCCTTGTCACGTGATTACAGATGGCCATCTAGTCGTTTTGTCATGCATTCAATGAAGCTGATTCACCCTGCTGCAACAAACCATCAGGCAGAACTTTACAACCGGTAAAGTATCTGCAGACATTGGTAATCCTTGCACTGATGGTGGGTTCCATTCCCATCACATCATTGCACGTAGATTTGCTACACTCTTCGCTCACCCGTAAATTTTGACAGTTTTGGATGGTTTGTTTTGGCTCCCATTCTATGCCATCTCTTTTACTCTGAGACAAAATGATTGGAGCCAAAAAGTGCACTGCTCTATATCAAACCGTACGAGCTGTCGAAGACAATAGTCACATCAACGCCAGATCAACAGAATGGGCAGCCCTCAAGAATACTGCTGCTACATAGCACTCGGATCAGCCCAGTTCCGTCTCCCGTATATCGCAGTGCGATGAAGATTTGATCCACGGAGAGTACAGCAAACATTACACGCTGGTGAGGAACATTGGGAATGTCATGGATCTCCATATCAAGCTTACCCAACAAACAATTTTAGCTGCAGACTAGCTTATACAGGAAAAAATCAGCTGTATAAGCTAATGTGCAGCTAAAATTGTTAGTTGGGATTGACTTCGGATTGGCGACGTTCGTACAGGAAGGGCAACTTTTTTTGCACGACCGAGTACTGCAGTCCGGAAGTGTTGGTAGGCAACCGCTACTGCTACCCTGGACTGGAAATGTAGGCTCTCTGTGTGACACTGTACGTCTTGTTATTTTTCGAGAACCCATTCGTGGACGTTGAGGAAATCCGTTGACAAGAATCCCAAAACTCGGATCACCATCCAGGAGCTACTGAAGGCGGAATGGCTGACGCAGGAAATCAATTCGTCACAGTTCAATTTTTTTTTTCCAAAATCACCCCCTGCTAACCGTATGAAATCAATCCAAAGAAGTGCTACGTAGATGCAAATATCTGCTCCAGCCAGACTGGACTGTCCACGTCGCCGCACAGCCTTTCGATATTAGATGGTGTCAAGTCAATTCGTACTCTCTTCGGGCCCAAGCTAATCGATGCGCCCCTCGAAACAAAGGAAAATCCACGAACCCCTCATTTTATCTGTCAAACTTTCATAGGGAATCAAAACAAACATAGTGTAGTACTGGAATTTATACTAGAATGGGGTGCGTTAATCGATTTGCTTGGGACCAATAGGCTAAATAGTCAAGTAGTGAGCCAATTTAAAATCGTTAGTTTCCACTATAAAGGGTGATACCAACAATCAATACGAAACTAACGATTTTAAATTGGCTCACCACTTTAGTAGCCTATTGGTCCCAAGCAAACGATTAACGTACCCTATTCTAGTTGAAATTCTATTACTACACTATGTTTGTTTTGATTCGCTATGAAAGTTTGACAGATAACATCAGGGGTGTGTGGATTCATGCAGAACATGCAGGGGTGAGTGAAATAGCTTGGGACTGCTTGGGACCGTTGTTCTGGTACTGAGTGACCAAAAATAATAATGATTTTCTTCGGGACCCAGTGGTCTTAGAGTTACCTCTATGGTGATACGGTCAAAATTTGGTCAATATCAACTTGACGTATTTCTTTCAATTTTGCATTTAAAAAACCTGAACACCCCTCATTTTGAAGGTGTGTGTGTGTAGATTGTTGCTCCTATTTTGATTTTGGAATTCACTCTTCAGTTGTCAAAATGCCGTCCAAGCAAGAAGAGCAGCGTATCAAAATTTTGCTCGCGCATCGCGAAAATCCGAGCTACTCGCACGCAAAGTTGGCAAAATCGCTAAAAGTTGCCAAATCAACCGTTACAAATGTAATTAAAGTCTTTGGGGAACGTTTGTCGACAGCCAGGAAGTCTGGATCGGGGGGAAATCGAAAACCGGAAGCCGCTGAGACGACAAAGAGAGTTGCCGGTAGTTTCAAGCGAAACCCTAACCTCTCTCTCCGAGATGCCGCAAATAAGCTGGGTGTATCGTCTACAACCGTGCATCGAGCCAAAAAACGAGCCGGACTATCGACTTACAAGAAGGTAGTGACTCCAAATCGCGATGATAAACAAAATACGACGGCCAACGGCCGACTACAAGCAGCTTCCGGGACAGGAGTTTTATACGGCAAAAGGAAGGGGAAAGGTAGCAGATGTTTTCAAGCACATGAAACTGTCAAAGTTCGCAAAGAAATATCTGGTTTGGCAAGCCATCTGTACCTGTGGCTTGAAAAGTAGCATTTTCATAGCTTCCGGGACTGTCAACCAAGAAATTTACGTGAAAGAGTATTTGAATAAACGTCTGCTGCCTTTCCTGAAGAAACACGGTTGTTCCGTACTGTTTTGGCCGGATTTGGCATCTTGCCATTACGGTAAAAAGGCCATGGAGTGGTACGCCGCCAACAACGTGCAGGTGGTTCCCAAGGACAAGAACCCTCCCAACACGCCAGAGCTCCGCCCAATTGAGAAATACTGGGCTATTGTCAAGCGGAACCTAAAGAAGACCAAAAAAACTGCTAAGGGCGAGCAACAGTTCAAGGCAAACTGGCTTTCTGCGGCGAAGAAGGTGGACAAGGTGGCTGTACAAAATCTGATGGCAGGGGTCAAGCGTAAGGCCCGGCAATTCGGATTTGGAAAAGCGGAAGCCTAACTGAATATTTTTCCTGAATTTTATACTAATTGAACTTGAAAAAGAAATTTAATTTGATTTTTTAAATAAACGATTTCACCGATTTACACGCGTTTTCCCTTGACCAAATTTTGACCGTATCACCCTTTATTGTACTATAGATTCCATAGGTAAGCGGAGGAAAAGTATAATGTAGCCAAAAAAACTGTCAGTTAGTATAGCCAAACGAGCATGACATCATCATGGTGTTGTTTGAGGGAGAAGTGTTGTAATATTTTGAGCACAAAACGCATTCCACACTCCACATTTCGATGTATTTCATGGTCAACGCAAGAAGAAAATATAAAGCAAACCATTCCTCGACACATTTTTGCAAAGACTTGCATTTCATTTTGAAGTTTTACGCACGAAACAAAACAAAACTGCAAAACGAAGAGCTCTATGATGGCTTGAACTTTTTTCACGGATGCCAGAAAGATCATATATTTTTCATAGTTGCCAAAACAACTTTTTGTGCCTCCAACTTTTATCTATGGAATCTATAGTATCTATAGTATTACGACGCGTTGTTCAGAGGTGGCCGTGATAGTTGATCACTGTAAAATAACATTAACGCGCCCGTAAACGATAAAACTACATTTATTAAAATACGCGACTATCGTGGTAAAAGGTTATAACTAGACAATCAAAAGGACAACCTAAATTTAGGACGGTATCCGGTTATGCTGGCGATGACGTCTATCGTATGACAGCACAGCTGTCAACGATGAGCCCAGCAGGAAAGCGATGGAACGTTATGGCACAGGCAGTGTTCCCAGCGCTTCTGTTTCGGTTGCCCCAACATCTCCCCTCTAGAACCGATGATACAGGTTGAACCTCTGGGGCGGTCTTCTAAGTCTTGAAGAACGCCTTGATAGCTGTACTTTTGGCTGCACCGTTGGTGTGCTTGCAGCAGCCGATTCGAAGCTGGAAGATGTGGTACTCGAAGACGAGGACGATGACGACATGTCCGTACTGGTTGCCGGACTAGTAGGTGGAGACAACGTTGGCGTTCGAATAATGTCGCTTGCAGTCGTAGTTGCTGGATTCCACGTATCGAATAGAGCTTGCAGAGGAAGTTGCTTATGGTTCGATGACTGGCTGGATCCAGGACCTTGATTCGAGCAGACTGACGTTCTACTCCTCAGCTGGTTCAGGTGCGATCGGACTAAGCGACGACTATCGGTCAACACGTTGTACATCACTCGTCCAACTTTTTCGATAACCGTTCCAGGAACCCAGTTCCAGGTGTTCTTGGTGTAGATCTTGGCGTAGACGAGATCACTTTGACTGAAGGACCTCATACTGGACTTCTTCAGGTCGACCGGTGACAATTCCGGCGGTGGACGTTCTGGTGATGGACGTAGCAGTTCGAGACAGGTGCGTAAACGTCGTCCGAACATGATCTCCGACGAGCATAGACCTTCTGGCGCTGACCGGTTAGGTGTGCTTCGGTAGGCCAGCAAGAACGTATCCAAGGCTTCATCGGTCGAACTTCTCCCCTCTTGGCCGTTTGATTGTGGGTGAAACGGTGCAGTTGTTACGTGGTCGATTCCATTCGTCTTGCAGAACTGAGCGAATTCCGAGCTTGTGAATCGGGTGCCATTATCTGACACCAACGTTTCCGGCATCCCCAGGCGCGCAAAGATACTGCGAAGGATGCTGATCGTTGCAGACGCCGTGATGCGACGTGTACGGATGACTTCCGGCCATTTCGAAAATGAATCCACGGCGAGAAGATAGTAGTCGCCGTCGATAGGACCGGCGTAGTCCACATGAACACGTTGCCAAGGATGTGTAGGCTTGGGCCAGGGCACAGGGGTCGCTGCTGCTGGAAACTTTGCTGTCAAGGCGCATGGTGAACACGCCTTCACGTAATCGGCAATCTCGCTATCGAGCGATGGCCAATAAACGTAGCTGCGGGACAGTGCCTTCATCCGCTGGATTCCGGGATGCCCCCGGTGGAGTTCTTCGAGGCATCGCTTGCGTAGAGGAGACGGAATAACAAGCCTTTCGCCGAAGAGAATGCAGCCCTGTACCGTGGTGAGTGATTCACGACGAAGGTGAAAGCGAAGAAGTTTTCGATCAGCGTCACTGGCCAGGGAATTTGGCCAGCCTTCCCTAATAAAAATGTTATGGTTAATTTGCTTAACGACGTGTTCGGGGTATCATCCAAACCATTTGTGGAATAGTTCAATCATTTGGATAATCGTTCGTTTATGGTAATTTTTTATTAGGGTTCCTGGACGTATCGGTGGACCTTCTTGAGCACCGGATCCGTCTTGGTGCTTTGTTGTACCAACAATCAATACGAAACTAACGATTTTAAATTGGCTCACCACTTTAGTAGCCTATTGGTCTAGTTGAAATTCTATTACTACACTATGTTTGTTTTGATTCGCTATGAAAGTTTGACAGATAACATCAGGGGTGTGTGGATTCATGCAGAACATGCAGGGGTGAGTGAAATAGCTTGGGACTGCTTGGGACCGTTGTTCTGGTACTGAGTGAGCCAAAAATAATAATGATTTTCTTCGGGACCCAGTGGTCTTAGAGTTACCTCTATGGTTGTACTGTGTTAAAACTCAAAGAAAACACTGTCATTTATTGAGCCCTGGTGGTGAAGTTGGCGGGGGACTCCCCACAGTTTCAATGTGCACTCACTAGATGTCACTGCAATCACATAAGGGTGGTGTATCCATTACCTTGTACGAGGAATTGATTAATGGGATATCTTGTTAATTAAATATCTTTGATAGAAGTATACTTCGAAAAACTCAACGTATTGAAATCATTGCTTTGTAATAAAATATGCCGTCTTCCTTGGCCAACGCTGCACGCATTCTATTCAAAAATTACAATGGAATAATGATTACTTTCCTATTTTATAAAGAAGGTATTTGTCAACGCCACCGAAATCGCAAACTGAAGCTGCCAGAGCTGAGTGATGACGATGAGTTATGACACCGCTTCGTGTTTTGATTTGCACTGTACCCTCTGCTAAGGCTGTGAACCATTTGCCGAGTTAAATTTAACTCGTGGTTAAAAGTGACATTTCGAAAGTTATTTCTTATGTTCGAAAATCCCCGTGCTGTCGATCGACCGGTTTTCGAGCCACGGTCGTCAAAATTTAACTTCTTGTCTGTCAGAAGTAACCACGCTCGGATAGCAGGGTTAATCGATAACTTTTCATCTGTCAAATTTTAACCAAAAGTTAAAATAATCCACCAAATGGTTCAGAGCCTAAGTGGTGTGGATTCGTACATGCATAGATGTTGGTGTGCGTGCTTTCTTTCAACGCTGCATTTCATCGTTGGATCGTCACAAACCTATTGGCGCTGTAATCTGTCTCTATAAATTCCAAAGAGTGAAGGGGGTCTGCATTTATGCCAGTTCTTTTTCACATCTAGATAGTAGATGTCAGCTCTTGACAATGATTAGTGGTCAAGGCATCCCACTGGAGACACATACCACATCTGACGAATACAGAAAAAAAAGTTGTTGAATATTACATTGAAAGTGCTGCACATTAGTCATTTCGTTCCTTATATTACGCTGCACGATTAACACAGAATTCGAGAACAAACCATTTTGATGACTGTAATATTCTATCAACTTTTAACCCCTTTTACCAGTTCAATACTTCACCATAAATTTCATTGATTGATACATATTATATTTTTTTTGCTGTACACACATTAAAGTGATGAGTGGTGGTAGAAAGGGCACTCATTAGTGATGCATTACCTCGTTTAAAAACTCGTTTCTAGCAAAAGAAAAAGTACACTAAACAAACAAAACAAATCCCTAAAAAAAAGTCTTAGCTTCTGTGAATTTTTCATACGGATTCGTATTTCTGCAGAATTCAATCAATTCTATAGATCTACGGAAAATTTAGTAGAATCGACATCACTGACTTCCATCTGTTTGGTTTTTATTTAACACAGCTGACGCGTTGACCGAACGAGGGAAAAGCAACTAGTGAAAAAATTGCATGCTCGAGGGATTCTCCGGTTGCAAAACATTGCTAGGGAATGTGGATGATAGATGGTGCTAGTGCACATGCAAAATACGCTGGACGATATTTTTAGAAGAATTTTCTTCTAAGAGTTATGTCTGTTTGTCTGTGATCAAACGTTGGGCTAATGTAATTTTTTTTTCGGGTGATGTCAGTTTTGTGCTTGGATCAGAAATTTCTTTGTAATTTGTATGTCAGTTTGTCGGTGTTATTATTCTATAACTCGATGGTCCCTTCATTATCGATTTGTAGTGAGTTCACTGTATTTGGCAGATCCTCCAATCTGGGTCGGTATTAAAAAGTTAATCCTAGTTGGAGCTTACCGCGAAGAGTCAGTTAACACTGTTTGATAATTCCAGGGTATGAAATGACGACCATCACTGCACCACCAACTGATGAGTTTTATTGCAGCAGCCCTGCCCCTACTATACGGTGTCGGTGAGCGAAAAGCTTCAGTATTTTTGAGCTTTCCACACTGGTGTATCACTGGAAATCACCAATACACATAAACAGAATTAAAGCGGTGTAATATTAACACGAAAATTGATAAAGACCCAAATAAGGGTTAAAATGCATGGTGTACAATCAGAGCAAAAAAGTGGTTGAAACTGCTAAATCCAGAGGTCATTCCATCAGTTGCGTAATATTACGTTGTACGATCTACACAGTTTTTGCAAATAAATTTGCATACACCGATGTAATATTGCATCAGATTGTGTGGTAATTTACATAAATATTTGATACAGCGGCACGAATTACGTCTGACTAGAGCACCATCTTTGTTGTTATGATATTGTTTCTCCATATCCTAGGGGGGATAATTTAAAGTAAGCATCATTTTAGAGAGCAACAGCCGGAGAACAAAATCATACGATGTTTGGTATTAAATTGTTTACCGTGCAGTTGGAAAAATTCTCACCACTCCAAGTGCAGTGCGCTGTGTGAGTTTATGATGGTAAAATTAAAAATCATCATCAGTCGTCAGTGTTTTGTGCAACTTCGAAACGGAATGGTTTTCTTCTAGTGCAAAGGCAATCGCCGGGTGAAGTAGATTACCAAACTTTTCGGAGTGTTTTTTTCCCTCGCGAATCGCAACAATTGCCCACATTCAACTCTGCTTTAAATCCAAATCATGTATGCGTAATTTGTGTAAACCATAATAAGGTGATCTGGCTAATAAAATTTACGCGCATTTTCTCTGTGAATTGAAAACAAAAAAGTTCGGACCATTTTGAACGCTTCGCCTGCTGTTGTACCAACGGATCGTTTTGCTCGCTCCCGCCGCCTCGCATCCATGCGTCGTGCATGTGTGTTCGTAAAGCATTGCACAGAGCTTTTTGACGTTTAATCTGCGCACACTACTGCACCATCTATATCGAACAAGTGCGAGCAAGAGGGAAACAGAATGCATTCATCCTCGTGTGCTAGATAGAGAAAAACGATTAAACGTCAAAACAGCAGCAGGAGGCGCCGAAAAACGTCAAATGAACGGTACCTACTCATCGTCATCAACAATCATCGGGCATCGAATCGAACCGTCATCGTCATCCTAGAAAAGAGTGGCGGAGAAGGAAAATGGCGCGTGTTTGCGGACGGTCCGATTAACCGTGAAAAATCCCTAGCAAACCGAATCGAATCCGGTCGGAACCGGTGCGATAGTGAAGTGCTATTAACGGTGCAGTGGAACGTGTCGAAATTCGCCGGGAAAGTGCCCGATCCGGGACGAAAATCGACGATTGAATCTTTCCGGGGAGGTCATTTCACTTGGCTGGCTTCTTTGCTGTCGTTTTCCTGTTGATGTTGCGCGACCGTCGGTGGCGGCTAGTCGGCACCAATACCATCGTGCCCCGGGTCGGTTCGGGATGACACCCACACCATAATCGTCCGTAGGAGGGTTTTGTTGTGAAAACGAATGACCTCTCCCAGTTGATAAACAGAAAGTTTGTTCTGATGTTTTGTAAACATGGAATTCTGAAAGTGCATTCGGAGGTCTGAGAGTGTTCTTATCGCTCGGTTTTTTTTTGTCATATGAAAACGGGCAAGGTGTTCGGTCAAATGTAAAAGTTATTAAGTGCTTCGCAGTTAGCAACATATTGTAGGAATTACACTGAAAATATCGCATGATTTGAGTGCAAAAGAAGAGTGCGATTGTTCTTACGAGTAACATGACTAACAGAGGCACAGGCGCGTTGCTCGTGTGAAGGAAGAAAGCCCCCGGGTTGCACCTTAATGTCGGAGGCATGGTATCGCCCTCCAAGACGAAATATTCGAGGGTCGCAGCCAATCAACAGCAGAAAACGGCTTCTTCGAGTGAGTAGAATCTTGCCTTTTATTTGGATCCAGATTTTTTGGGTTTCTATTGTTCCATTGTGTTTTCTGCTGTGCTCTTGTGATCAGGGTAAATTTGCACATGAAAGTCAGCTACAGGGAGGAGAGATATGTTTTTTGTTTGTAGGGTGCGTCAAAGGGAGAACGATTTGCAATGCAGTAGCCAACTAGGCGTCGTAGTGAGGGGTTTGCTACATTCTTGGTAAATCATGAAAATGACGCCCCAATAATTAAATTAAATCAAACGGCAGGATTAAAATCAACGGGCATTTTTTGGTTTCTCTTAAATAATTGTTCACGTCCGAGATTCTTAACTGAGTGCGGGATATCAACGCATTTCCCGAAAAATGCAACATCTCTACGTGAGAATTGCCCTTAAAATCCAATTATGTTTTTTAGCCTGAAACAATAAGATGATGATTTACCAATGTAAACTCACTTATTTAAAATAGTTCCAGTGTACCAAAATTTATGGAATTTTGGATTTGGATTCAATTTGTAATGCTGATAACCAATATGCATTTACTTCAATACCATCAAAGAACCCATTAAACTAACTCAAAGATTTTTCGAAATCCATCATCTCGAATATTTTTGTTGGTCTCAGAATCATGAAGGTTTTCCCTTATTGAATATTTTATTATATTTTTTCCAAGGTTGACATCTCACAAGACATACACACTTAATTTTTTTTCGCCAAGATTCCAACAGTCGAGCAGTTCTGCAATTTATTTTGCTGAGATTCAGTAAAACAATTGCCGAGACTCAGCTAACAAATATTATTTTGCTGAGATATCAGCTAACAAACAGATATTGTGCAGATATATCAGCAAAAGTAAATTCTGAGGTATTCGGCTGTTGGAGATTTTATCGAGTTAGATTAAGTGTGTACTCGAAAACTACTCTCTATAATTATCTGAAAAAAATTCATCCTTTTCGCAAGAACTTGCTTAAATTTGTCTCCAGTATATTCTCGTTCGAATTCTGCTCAGAATTCTCCTATAAATTCCTTAACACTCCGAACACGATGCCTCCGGTAAAATGTGTAACGGAAAACTTGCTATGTTTGTAAAATCATAACTCAGCCATTTATTGACAAATTTCAAATCTATTGTTGCCATTTGAAACTTCAAACTTTAAAGATTTATTCGGTATTAATAAATTTAAAATCTATTGATGAATTGCTGAGCAATGATTTTTCAAACATTGCCGATTTGCCGTTACACATTTTACCGGAGGCATCGTGTTCTGAGTGTTAAAAACTCTCCTCGCCATTCCCAAAGTATTCTTCCAAAATTCACTAAAAATCATCCACAAAACTTCCTTGGCATGCTTCCATAGACTAATTTAATTTCTTCTATAAATTGCCAAGGAATTGTCTTCAGCATTCCCTAAGTAGTTTCTCGTTCCCTTGGTATCTCCCTCGTGTTTCTCGGGAAGCCATCCTCAGAACTAGAATTATTGTGGAACAGGGTTGATAGAGGGTTATTTTTTAGTGACTGTCAGTTTTTTTTTTGTAGGTGGTCACTTCAATCAAGGACTCAAGGCTGTCCCTACTGTGAAGTGAACTTTTAACTCAGAAATTCCCATCAACCAGCGGGTTCGAATGTTTAGCCATCCAAGTAAGAATCGATTATATAAACACTTGCATCATCGTGGCATACAACCCCTTCAACTACAAAACTGTGTTTGCGCAGCAATACGAAAAGCTTCTCCTGAATCTACTAGAGTACTTTCCTGGTCGGTGATTACAACTTTAACGTCGCTGCGAGACAACCTTCCACGACTACCATCGATCTAATGGTAACCGATTACCCGCTATTCATAAAAAAGCCAAGGCATTTTCGGCGAACATCATTTCGGATCACGAGGCTGTGTATCTGATCGCCGATGTGCGCATACCAGAGGAACCAACTCGGCGTATAAAAATACGAAATCTTCGCATGATAGACCCACTGCAAGAGATCTGCAACAAATCTACCAGAAAGGGGATGTCAACAGTAAAGCGCAGCTCATCGCACTCCATGCATAACGAATGAAATCCAAACTGAAATCGCCTCAAGGAATCCTCTAATCGTGTCAGAAGTGATGTACAATGACAAGACTAACATCTCCAAAAAGAGTCGGGCTAACACCTTTATCGCCGCAGCAAAGAAACGCTTACGACACAATCGATCGAGATCAGCTATGGTAGATTATGCACAAGTACGGACTGACGCGATTGGTCAAGGCAACGATGGGACACTGTCGAGTCCCTTTGAATCTCGAAGGGGGTTACGGCAAGGTGATGGACTTTCTGCTATTCAACATCGCGTTAGAAAATGGCATGATCTTCAGGAAGTTCATCCAGCTTCTTGGCTTCGCCGATGACATCGACATCATGGCACGGAACTTTGAGACGATGGCGGAAACATACATCAGATTGAAAGCTGAAGCTAGGCGGATAGGACTTGCCATCAACGCATCAAAGACAAAATACATGAAAGGAACAGGTTCTAGGGAAGACAAAGTTAGCCTCCCACCCCGAGTTCAGATTGACGGTGACGAAATTGAGGTGGTCGATGAGTTCGTGTATTTGGGCTTACTGGTGATCGCCAAAAATGATACCAACAGAGAAATTCAAAGACGCATTATGGCAGGCAATCGTGCCTACTTTGGACACCAGAGGACGCTCCGGTCGCATAAAATTCGCCGCCGCACGAAGTTGACTATCTACAAGACGCTGATTAAACCGGTGATCCTCTACGGCCACGAGACCTGGACTATGCTCGTGGAGGTGTTTTCGAACGGAAGGTGTTGCGTACCATCTACGGTGAAGTGCAGATGGATGATGGAACGTGGAGGAAGCGAATGAACCACGAATTGCACTACCTGCTGGGAGAACCATCCATCGTCCACATTGCGGGGGGGGCGACTACGGTGATTTGGTGTGGAGGATGATCTTGGTGCCAATCCTGCACAGCTTGTACTCGGCAGCGACTCCGAGGGTTGCCACATCTTGAGCCAGCTTGTCGAGTGGTACTGACTTCACCATCAGAGGTGGGAGTTTCACTCCCGGTCCGTTCTGGCCGCCCGTGGCCCTGTTTTCAATGGACCCGCCGAACGTCACTACCGTTGATTGCTGTGGCGTCATCCTGGGGACCACTGTTCTTTGGGGTATGGACACTGCCACGGTCGGATGTGTCTCTCTTAGTCTTTTTGCCGCCTTGGGCAACGTTAGACTGGGTTGCAGGCACTAGCGTTCACAGGAATCTTGTTAAGGAGGGGCAGTTTTTTTTCTATGGTTCATTTAATATGGGGATGGGGAGTACTCTAAAGTGCGTGGGAGATGGTGATGTCCACCCACCACTGTTTCCGTACTGTTTAATTTAGCTAATTTTATTTATTTTTTGTTCCGGTGGTGGTTCATCTTCTTCAATGCAAACTGCTTTCAGACAGCCAATGGAAATTGGCAATTTAATCCCATCGACGATGTCGATTATGAACCGTCCCAAAGTACCGCTAGTCGGCGTGACAGAAAATGATGCCGAACATTCAACATGTTTTAAAGATGATATAAAGGACAAACCCTAATTCATTGCAGCTGTAACTTTTTAACCACGGTAACAAATGACTTGAAATTTTCAGAGAAGATTCTTAGACGAACTTTTAGTAAGGTATTCTTTTCGGAATTATATTGGAACTATCTGCAGGATTCACTAGAAAGTATACGCAGTATTTTCTTGGAATACTTAGGAACTGTCCTCAAAATTCAATATCCTTGAGGTTCTTCTCGGATTTTTTTAAAACTCTCCTATGAGCTCTTTTGAAATTCTTATCAGAAGTTCATTGGAATTATATTTGGAACTCTTCATGATTTTTTCTCAGAACACCTTGGAACTGAATGAGTTAGAAATTATCCTCGGAATTCGCTTGAAATTTTGCTTAAAATCTCTTTGGAAATTCACTCAAAATTTGATTTTCTCGGTATTCTTTATTAAATTATCTTGAAACTATCTGCAAGATGTACTAGAAATTATCCGCAGAATTTTCTTTGAACTCTCCCCAGAAATATTTCGGAACTGTCATAAGTATTCGATAATCTTGAGGTTCTTCTCGGAATATTTTAGAACTTTTTTTTTCTCACAACACCTTGGAACTGAAATTCCCCTAAAGTTCCAGAAGAATTTCCTCTGCATTCTCCAGAAATTCTTCCCAGAATAAGCTTGAAATTTTCCTCGGAATTCCCTTGACATTTTTCTCAACGTCCCTTTGGAATTTCATTCAAAGTTTGATTCTTTCGGTATTCTTTTCGAAATTATCTTGGAACTATCTGCAGGATTAACTAGAAATTATTCGCAGAATTTTCATGGAATCAACCCCAGAAATCGTTTCTTTTAGAACTGTTCTCAGAATTAAATACCCTTGAGGTTCTCCTCGGAAGTCAAGTTTAAGTTGCCCGCCCATTCACCAAAACGTTGTAGTTTTTCTACCAGAAATGTTCAATAAAGCTTGCCCCTCCATTCACCAGAACTGTGCAATTTTTACATCAGGAATCTTCAAGCTTGCCTCTTCATGCAGCAGATTGTTGCAAATCTTACAACAGAAATTTTCAATACAAACTTGCCTGCAGAAAATTTTACACCAGAAAATTTCAATTGATCAGAACGATACAAATTTTCCACCGTTAATGTTCAAGAAAAATTGCTTCTCCAATCTTCTGATTGGTGCAGATTTCCTTTTTTTTTTCATTTTCCACCAGACATTTTCAATATAACTTGCTTCTCCTATCATCAGAATGTTGCAGGTTTTCCACCAAATAAAGCTTGCCCCTATTTTCTGAGGAGTAGGCTCTGCATTTCAACAAGTTTGACGTGCATTTTCTTTGCTGTGATTTTTTTGGTGAAACGATTTCGGCATATTTTCAAAACAGTATAAAAAACCATTCTGATAGTGATTTCTAAAGTTATTCAAGTTTTGGCTTGTCTTTCCGTGACTCTCAA